TCAGCAACAACTAAAACATCGGTGTGTTATCAACTTTGTTCTCATCCTAAATCCAAAACACAGCACTGTACCAGCTACTAGGAAGGAAATTAACTCTATCCCTGCCAAAACCAGGACAGTGAGGAAGGGAGGTGCATGCCTGCACCCCCTAAAGAATGCTAAATACATTAGTTGGTATGAGGCATTGTGGTGTCTTGTGTCTCATAGAAGAGTATCTCTGTTAACTGTTACTGCAAAAAGGGATGAAAATTAGCATGCTGGCCAAGAGAGCAATAGTACTGCAGAGTCGTTCCCAGGCGCCCGATAGAGCTCCTCTATGTAAGGAGTTACTTTGGAAAGGTATTCTTGATTTATCTCTCTCTGTGGATGGTCGTCTTATGGAATTAAAACGTCACGTAAAGAGTTGATCAGAAGTTTTTTTTTTTTTTCTTTTTTTCTTTTTTTTTTTTTTTTTAATTTCTAACCCCGTCTGACCTTGAATTCACTTCCTTTGGTCAGAAGCTGCCCCAAAAATGTGGGTGTCCTGTTGTCTTGGGACTGCGTTACAGTGGAAGGCTCAGGGCCCCTTGTAGTTCCCAAGGAAGGCATGGCTCTGAATCGGGCGCCGGGGTAGGAAAGCTGCTGGGTGTTCAAGAGAGACTGTCTCCCTGCTGTCTTCCTTCTCTGCTGGCTTTTTGCCCAGGTAAAACCATCATGCTGTTTAAATCACATTCAGTATCTCATCCTTGATTAAGTAACATAAATGATGGATTTAAGGTCATAGCATGCAGAGGTAAAAAGAGCAAACACAAAGTCAGACAAGTGGAGCGATGATCCTCCAGTAGGGACTCACTGGGTGACGAAGGCCAGCGAGATTGCTTCTGGGCTTTACTCTCACACCACAGGCTGTTCTTGTCCTCTTTGGAGCCATATGTAGGCACAGAAAGAGCCACTTTCACATCTTTTTTATACTGGCAGGCAGAGTCAGGATTGTCGTTCAGGACAGCTGCTTAAAGTACTAGAGCTTCCAGTATAGCATCGACACAACGTATGGTATTGGCATAGATATGTCGCTGGCAGGCAGGGTAGGGTGTGCATTTGCAGCACATCGTTGCTGACTCTGCGTGTGCATGTGTGTGCCCTGAAGTGAAGCACTTGGCAGCTCTCTTACCCTCTCCCACTGGAAACCCACGTCCCAGCTTGCCTGAATTGTTCAGGTAGCTGTGTTCATGTGAGTTACTTGGAACAACAGTTGGTAAAATAATGTTAATGACTGGATGACCAGTGTTGCAAAGAAGTTGTCAGCATCTCTTCAAATGTTGTCTGAGAACGGGACACGTAGACTTCTTATTTCCAGCTATTGCTGTGGAAGTGGGGCTCTGCTGTATGCTTCAGTGTGTCCAGTTTTGCTAACGTGCACTGTTAAGCCTTCAAATTTGGTTTCTTTGCATGCCAGCGTAAAGATAGCACCCACTGTCCCAACCACATGTGCCATCTTGAAATTGCATAAAGGAACTCTTATTTTCCCAAGCTAAATTATTTTTTGTTAGAAACCAGCAATGTATATTTTTGAAGAAGTCATGCCACTCCTATGAAAATCCTATTCCTTTGATTCATCCAGGTGGATATCTAAACTTGGTGACCGTATAGACAGCCTCATCGTTGCGCATCGTTGTAGTTAATCTGGAAATTTGTATTTAAGTTACAGGACCGGCTCCAGTGCACTCACAAGCTAGTTGTGAACAATGGGCCCGAACCGTGCCGGGCTCTGTAGTCCTGTGCCCGGTGACGCTGCAAATACAGACTCTGCTTGAAGGCATTGGCTTCAATTTTGGGGTGCAGCAGTTTAAAACTGCTCCATGGGTTATATCCCAGGCATTCTTATTTAAAATATTATGCCTATGAGCTCTGTTTAACTTGTCCTATTGTACATCTCTCAATGGCAGGTTGGTGGTCCTTTTGTAAGATCGTTTGTGAAAGTTTTGGTTCTTTGACTTTGGAAACAAGCTTAGGAGAATCTCAGTGTGTTTCCTGAATCACTGTAGCCCCGCTGAGCGGTGCTCGGATGTAGTTGATCCGCGTTTCAGTAACTGTTGACCAACAACAGATATATACCTACTTCTGATCCATAAAAATTGATAGGGACAATCTAGGCCGTGCGTCAGATTTGTTAAGTGTAATCTGCATTCCTTGGAAATTAGGAACGAGGAGAACGCTTTGCCTAGACCTGGAACTCATCTGACCTCGCACTGGCTGAACCGCCACGTTTTGTGTTAGACATCACCTTTGTGAGTTTCAGGTGTGTAAAACCAAGCCCCAGCACACACTCTCATTGCCTGTACATGAAAATTAACAGAGCAGATCAGACACTGTGTTTATGCCACCTCTTTTAAAGTCAGAGTGAAGAGTTGACATCATTCAAGTCATTTTTGTTCTCCATTTCCATCCTTTTTTCCCTGGGTTTGAGTTGTTTCTGTTTCATGCTCTGCTTTCCTAGAGCGTGCTGCTTTGCCCTCGGGATTTCTGTTTCGGTTTTGTATGGCTGTGTGCAATGCCCTTATTTATTTATCCATTCAGTCAGACATTCATTTATTTTTATTCTTGCTGCTACCAATATGTTCCTGCCTTTCCAGTATCTTTGAGAGTAGGGGCAGCTAGCTCCAGCTAGCTTGCTCCTAATTTAGGCCCTAATCCAGTTTCAGTTAAAGTGAGTGGAAATACTCCTTTGAACACAGAGGAATCGGTGAACGGTTTTCACTGGAGAGCACGGTCTGGGCAAGCTGAACTCAGTAGCTGACCTTCAGTCCTGCCGCTCTCTGCTTGAAGTGGTTCAGTTTGAGGGTTTATAAGCAGTAAATTGAGTTAGGGAAGCGTCAGAGGGAACTGCAGAGAACAACAAACCGCTTGTGCAGTCCCCAGCGTCGCAAGGAGCCCTTTCTTGCTTTCCTGGGGCTGTCTGCAGGCAGCTGCTTCGGGTTTGAAGCCAGGCTGTGACAAGACCTGGTCTTCCCCTTCAGTTGTGCTGGGTCCTTGCAAGCGAAAATGGCAAAAGGCAGATTCTGACCAGGTTGTGGCTCTTCTTGGGTACGTTAATGGCACATGGGGAGGGAAATACAGCAAAAACCAACCTGAGCATAAAAGAGAAAATATAAATGTATTTCCAAATTTCTGTGCTTATGACTGGGCTTTTCTTGGGGGTTAAAAAAAAGCTGCCTTAATTATATAGTCTTGCATATTGCTGTTCAAACTATCGCTTGTGCCATAAGTGTTTTCTAAACATTAAACAGTAGCCAGTTGTCTCAGCAGATCGCTGCGTTGTTCTTCCAGAGCCGTGCTGCCCAGTAATGCGGAGATGGGAGTCCTTCATCTCCACGCGCAACTTGGGCGTCCCGCTCTGCTTCCGAGTCGGACCTCTGCGGTTCAGAGAGGCTGTTGCAGAAACCAAATGTGTACTGTCAAGCAATTACATCTGCAAATGACAGTGAGCCTTTACAGTATATTTTATAACCGTCTCCCTGCCTCTTGTCTTCTAAAAATCTAATGCAGCAGCAGGAGAGGGGATATTTCAGTTGCTTTTGTGCCTCGGGGACCTGCTGTGTCACTGGAATAAAGGCGATGGCAACTCTGCCAGTGACAACTCACAACTGTGCGCGCCAACTTTATTCCTGTTGCCTTCAAACTGAAGGTGCTGGGGATATAATTACCCAACGGTCTAACAACACTTGGTTTAACCTAGCCTTGACATTTTAGTATGTTTTTGTAAAAAAAAAAATGTTTCCTGTAGTCGGATGCCAACCACAGCAGCCTAAGAAGCTCTTAGCTTTCTAACGGCAGTTTTGCGGCATGTCGGCAATCTGACACTCGTGTTAAAAGAAACTGTGAGCCTTGGGAAGCAAGACGAGCGATGGTTCGATTCGGAGCCCAGCCTGTGCCGCAGCCGCTCCCCTGGGCGCCAAGTGTGTCCGGAGGAGGAAGCGATACCACCCGGGCCGGGCAGGGGGGCCGGAAGGATAGCGAGCTGCTTGCGAAAGCTTCTCGCAGCCTACAAACAGTTTTTGGGAGGGCGTGTCCTGCAGGCCTGATGAAGCACTCAAGTGTAGCATCGTTGGGAGCTACTTTTTGGGGAAGAGGAGATCATAGCTTTACAATAAAAATTTTTTTTTTTTTTTGCTGTAGACCTAATCTTGAAAGTTGTGTGAATTCTTTGTTACATGTAAAGAATAATTGTGAAGGTCCCATTTATAATAATTGGTCTTATTTGTTTAATTCTTTGAGTATCATGTTAAAACATTTACCTAACGATATTAGTGGATTATGTGGGATCCCTCACAAACTGTCATCAGCAGTCCTTGCAGAATAATAATGTCTGTACATCGAGCTGCCACTGGTTATTTGCAGTCTGTTTCTACTGCAGTGATTTTATAGCATGTGCCAGATGGCTTAGATAATGGATTACTATTATTTTTTAGATAAATAAATGATCAGACAAAGTGCTGTCGAGCTCCTGCTATGTCAGGAAATGTGCGCAACGACCACCGTTATCTTTCGGTGAACCACAGAGCTCCAGGTTGAGTTGGAAGGGATAGGCGGCCGGTCGGGCAGATGTATCTGGCTCTTAGGGTCTCCTTGCGGGGCCTTTGCGAGTTTAATCCTCTCCATGTGTTACAATAACAAAGTAATTTGTCTCTCTCTTTAATGAGTCTCATTGTTTAATCTCTGTAGGACTAAAGAAAGCATTTTTGTTCTTGAAATTTGCTCGTTGAACAAGTTGAATTGGAGGAAGTCACAGAAACATCTGGTATCACAAGGTTTCACTGTTGCTGGATGGTCTATTTTTAATAGGATTTAAAAAAAGCAAGAAGTGATAGTAAGGTTAATCATAGATGGTGTTTCTGCTGTGAGGGAAAAGCAGCGTGCAGCTGGCAAGTCTGCTGTCCTGGGGGTACCGGCGGGATGCTGCCTGGATTTCTGGAAAGTCAGAACAGCCTCCGCAGCAGACCTCGGAGGAGCCAGCCGCGTGGGGTCTCCTACAGGGACATTCACTGAATTTGGATTTCGTTACTTGAGAACACAAAGCATACACAAAACAAATATTTAACTACTTGAAGTCTTGTTTATATTACTGGAGTCTTTGACACCTGCATGTATATATGAGCATACGTACAGACATTGCTGGTTTGAAAGGCATCTTGGCTCGGGGAAGGATGATGGACCCAGTTTCACTTTGCGCTGTCAAGCAGCAAGAGCTCCTCTGATCAGGGCCAGTGGGTTGTTTTATGCCTCTTGATTAAAGTCAGCTTAGCTTGGTTTACTTGTATGAAGTTAGGAACGAGCAGAATCTGAACTCCTTTGTGTGGTCGGGTTTTCTTTCGTATGCTTGAAGGTGCAGAGGTTATCTCTGATCTAATTTTGTGCTCGCTGTGGTGGAGCGGTGTTTACTACTGCCTGTATCGTGCTTGACTCTGATAGTGAGTATTTGTACCGTTGGGCCCAGGGCCAAGAAGCGGCGTTTGGGCAAGGCTATTGGTCCTGCTGCTTCATTAGCAGACTACTCCAACGAGTTGAAGCAGCAGTGTGCACCTTCTGCTTGTCTTCTCCGCTGCTGAAATAGCAAGGAAGAGCTCCCTATTTTCCCTTAATAATAGGTGGTTCTTGTTGCAGAAAATATGGTGTTAGGGTCAGAATAAACCCATGGTTCTTGGAAATTTTCATCATGTCTGTGACTGACTTTTTCCTCAAACTATATCTTTCTGCTTAAGTTATTTTCATGGACCATAACCCCGCTCATGATACACCACAACAGATGTACGTTTTTGTTTTGTGGATGATGCTCCTAAGAGTTTGATTGGTTTAAATTGGTATCAGAACTTTTAAGTAAGTAGAAATGCGTTAGGCACAAAATTAAACCTGTTATCTAAAGGTCATGGGAGACAGAGAAAATTCAAACTGTGTTGAATTCAAAGGCTCTTTGTACAGTAACTTTTTCCTTTTGTTGGCTTTACTTTTGAGCTGCATCCAGGATGGAGAGTTGTGTGATTGGGTTGCTAAGGCCTCGTTTACCCGCGCTAATAGCAAGGCTTTTAGTGACTTTCCTGGCAGAGAACAGCACTTTCGTGCTGGTGCCGGTGCCAGTGCCAGTGCCACGCTCTGTGCCACCCTTTCCTTAGGACTGCATCATTTCCTCCTTCTTGTCAGCGTTGCTTGGCTTTGCTTAACCCTGAGTTTGCTTAAGCCTGATACTGCAAAGATTTATCTTTATTCCGTGTGAGTAATCGCGTTGCTTAATTTTATGCTTTGAAATCAAGCATGTAAATCTGAAAGATTGGGCCTTTTATTCTCTATTTCCTCTTACTGCAGGGAAATAACTTTGCTGTCATACACCTGCTCGGAACAATTTGTGCAGGAAAACAAATGAAAACATATCCTAGGGATGTTGTCTTGTCAAGTTCTTTGTGTTAAGCTCTGTGTATGCCGTGTTGCAGTAAGTTAGGACCTGTCTGCGTAAAACCCAATTTTAATATTTAATAGCAAGAGTGTATTTTCAGGAGTAGCTTCTGCTTTCAGGACCCCCTCCATCTCAGGGAGATAATGGTTCCACTCATCTTCTTTTAGCATAGCCCACTTTCTCAGTTTGCTACAGGCAGCAGCCTAACGTGAAATACCGTGTGAGATGGATAACCCGAACTGCCCAGCACTGCGCAAGTGTGAAAAGCACCAGAGTTATCGAGCTGATGATCTTGATGATTTTGAGGTCTTCCTGTTCCTGGCCATCTGGGTCATAACCCACTCCTTTTCTGTCACAGCATAGCTGCTTTGCTGCCTGCTCTCAGTTAATCGCAGTATTTAGTAGTTTTATTTCTATATATCTTAGTCTATTTATATATAAATAAAATGTAAAGAGGAGATCAGTGCTGGCTAAAAACGGTTTGCGGGTTTTTTTGTTTTCAAAAAGAGGCTAAGTACTTGGTGCGATTACATTAGAGGAGTGCCCTTCTTGCTGAATTCTGGGCATTAAGCAGCTGGAAGGTGAGCACAGGAAACATTAGGCACTACTAATAAAGTTTAAAGACTTCACTCCTACTGAATAGCTGTGGATTGCAGATACTGACCCAACTTTTAATGTGAGGATCTGCGAATTTTAATGCAAATTCTGAAGAAGGTGAAAATGGATTACTTAGCAAAGCAGAGATCTTACACCATCTGTTCTCCTTGGTGGCATGGATTTAATATTTTTGGCCTGTTAATCTGGGACAATAGCAAGAATTGTCTCAGATCTTTCCCTGAATAATAATGGCATGGAGGTACTCAAGGCTGGGGTAAAGCTTCTTAAAATGTTAAGGGAGAAGAAGGTACAAACCTAACATCAAATAAGCAAGTGTGAATGAGACGTCACCATGCTGATGAAGGGTCTGAGGGAGCACTACGAAGATTAAACTGGAGGAGAAGCAGTCAGGAATGCAGAATGCAGCTGTGCCTGCAGGGTCGTCTTCGAGTCTTACCTCCATGCTGTTTGGTGAAAGTTGTGGTTATTTTCTGAACATCTTGAAAGCTGTTGTATTTCCCTCACTGCTCATCAAGTCTTCGTTTTTGCCTTTTAACCCCGCTTCAGGCGTGACTGTAGGTAAGGCTGTCAGGGTAATTCACATAGAATAAAAGCTGCCACCGGTAATTAGCAGAAGTGTGTTGTTGAGTTTATTTAGCTCTTAGGAGACAGTGTGGATGGTTGAGAGCAGACTCTTCCAGGCTCTTACTTACACTGTGGTCTGATGAGAGCCCTCGCTTTAAAATTAAATGTGAAGGCTACAGCAGCGTTGCTTTGAAGAGCTCTCATTCTGTCTTTATAGAAGTTAACACAGGGGGAAATACGACGTGTGACTTGGCGTGTCAAGTTTCCTAAGATTGCTGTGTGGTTAGGTGTAAACTGCACGTTTCTAGCTTGACAGTCCTAAATATAGAAGAACAGAAGAAGAACTTATCTGAGTGACTTTCATACCCATATGGTCTCTTTTTTGTAAATGGATATGAAAAATCATGAAGTCTTGCTGCAGTTACCGACGGCGTCTTTGAGTTCTTCCATTTGGTTATCACAAGAGAGGAGAATTTTGTGATTACTTTGTGATTTACAGGAGGACACTCTTGCTGTCTGTAGAGCCAGAGAAAAACTAAAATTACTATGAGTCGGTCTAACAATGCGGGAATTCATTGCCCCAACATGGCTTGTCACACGTTACTCTCTGCAGACTCCATGGGTTATTCATAAGTATCTTTAAAGCAGATGACCTCAGTTGTTTTGCTGAGGAAACCAGAGAGAGAGATTCCCAAGTCGCCTTACGAGTTAACGTACACCAATACAAGAAAATATGGAAATATTTGCCATGGAGATTGAGCCTATTTTGCCTGGAAAGGAAACACCAACTGCCTCTGAAAGTGCTGAAAATCTGTGTTGCAAGAGATACGGGATGGAAATAGGTGGTTTAGACTATATGTATGTTAAAGTAAGTAGAATATGTTTGGTTGTTTTCTTGGTTTTGACATAGGTGAAGGCTGTACAGCCAAGCATATAATAGCTTATTAGTATAATAGTTTATTAATAAAGGTTTAAAGTAAGTAGAGTTTTGACTTATGATCTGGAGATATATAAAGAAGACTTTTTCAAACATGCCAGACAATAATTTCATTGTTTAGGACATTGTCTCTCTTAGAAAAATCTTGTATTAGGAGAAGCCTTTTGTATGAGGAGAAGCCTTTGCAGAAGTTGTTAGAATTTGATGTCAGAGTGCAACCTTATGTATTGTGACAACCCTATGTATTGGAAATAAAAAGGCAATATAAACTTTTTGCAAACAATCAAATAGATAACGCTTGTAGAGAAAAGGAGTGGAATAGTTTCTCTAAGGCTAACTGTGGTATACAATTTCCAGCTAGCGCGGAAGGTTTTAATTTCACTCCCCTCTCCGACGCAGAGGTGTTTTCCATAATTTCTCATGCTAATCAAGGTTAGAGTTGCACTAATGAAATGGGCTGGACCAGGCAAGCTCTCGGGTGCCGGCGGTGCTCGCAGCC